TCCAGCCTGTTATACAAATCTTCTTTCTCCGAATCTTCTCGATCAATTTGTGGTGCGTAAGCAGATACAACATAACACACAGTATGCCCTTCTAGATGTTTAAGGCACATAACACGTTCATTGACTCTACTGGCTTCCAGTACACTTTTAATAAGTCGACCATTAATGGCTATTGCATCACCATTTGTTCCCTCTCAGTTTTCTTACCAGAAGAACCTATTTTTGTGGTCGCTATAGAGATCACTCTGATATCTTTCTTCTTTCTAGAAATTCGCGAATCTAGGGCATTTTTATTTTGGTGTGCCAACATTCAACGCGCATAGTCGGAACGACTTCTTTTCTGGGGTGATTTTCTTTGTCTTATGCATATTAGTTTGTCAATCTAATGGCTGGTCTCATTTACAGATCTCTAACTTGCAATGCTGTTTCCAATAGCGTTATCGGTGATTTTTTTTCGTGGTTGCGAAGTGCATTGCATATGTGTAAATTTTGTCTGGTCAGATTATTCTGTGCTACTGTAAAGCAACCGAGTATTCTTTTTAGTTTCTTAAGGTTTCCTGAAAATAATCTGAAAGAACCAAGTATAGAGGCTTGAATTAAGCTACAAGATAAAAGTTAGCTTCTTAGCTTGTCATTTGTGAAATGTATTTCAGGGCATTTGGAAACCGAGCATTCCAGGGCTGTAATGGATTCCTGCACTATCGGCAGTGAAGAGATCAGCCAACCGCTCTTGGTGCGTATCGATGCGCTTCCGCATATCAAGAACCGATTTCCGTGTCACAAAAATGGAACAATTCATACGAGCCTTGGAACCACTGGCAAGTTCTATTGCGGGAAAAAGCTGGACTTCAGGTGTGGTTGTTGTAACGGGAATTGTGGTCCGACTAACGGGTGTAACTGTACCTCGTGCCAAGCTCTGGATATCCAGTTTCAGAAACTGTCTTCAGGATACTACGTGAATTCGGCAGGAGTTGTAAGCTTCAGAGACAGGCAAAGTGAGACATTCTGCTGTATGCGAAAGGAGCGAGGAGATATTTGCAATGGGACTGGTTTTGTCTGTGAAAATTGCAAAGGGCTTATGGTGGCTTGGAGGCTAACCCTTCCTGACGTTCGCCCTCCTCCTTTTTCCGGGCTTGGGACAGGCAGTACTATCTTAATAGCAAGACAGACCAGGCGAAGTTCGACCGTGTTCACAGGGAACTGATCTCATGACCTGATCCCTAAAACTGATTCCCAAAAATCTGGTACAACTAAAATTCTGGTAGTGTGTCTGTACACCGAGTCGAAAACCAGAGTTCGCCGGCGCCAAAAAATGTAGTGATTACTTCGAAATTAAAGTAGGCCTGCATCAAGGATCGGCACTTAGCCCATTGTTATTTATTATAGTTATGGAAGAGGCTACGAGAAAATGTCGTTTCATGGTACCATCGGATATGCTATATGCAGATGACCTTGTGATATCAGCTGAAACAGAATCCCAGTCTTTTGAGAAGTTGAGTACTTGAAAACAGGCTCTACAAAAACGTTGTGTAAAAATCAAATATCGCTCAAATAGGAATGCTACTCTACCGATCAATCAATTTGAAACCCTTCTGAGTAGTGTCGAAGAGTGCTGGTACCTGGGTGATATGATTTCCGATGAAAGTGAGGCCATACGTGCATAATCGGTCAGAATAGCAGCTTTCTGGACGAAATGGCGGCAAATTCTGGACGAAATGGCGGAAACACTACCCTTCTGAGTAGTGTCGATGAGTGCTGGTAACTGGGTGATATGATTTCCGATGAAAGTGAGGCCATACGTGCATAATCGGTCAGAATAGCAGCTTTCTGGACGAAATGGCGGCAAATTGCGCCGCTGTTGTTCAAAAATGATATTAACTTGATTACAAGGTGTCATATGTACGGAGCGTGTCTCCGGCCAGTTCTGATGTACTGCTCTGAAAACTGGGCGCATACCAAGGCAATATCCAGCTCTCTAAAAAGTGCTGATATAAAATTTTTGTGTAGGATTACAGGAGTCACTTATAAAGATCAACGAAACAGTAATTAAAATGACACGTATTGTTGATCTGGAAAAGCTACGATTGCGATCGCGGCTAAAATCGTTTGGCCATGTTCACCGAAGAGAAAATTACCATGCGCTAAAGTCAACTCACCATGTATCAGTCCCAGAGAAAAGACCAGCACGAAGGCCTAAAAACGCTAGATCGATTGTGTTAAACGAGATCTGAATACTTTAGGCCTCAAATCCACAGACTGCCTTGATCAAATAGCATGGAAAAACGTGTTATCCTCCATTAAATAGCTTGAGTGCTACTTGGAATGCCCTCATCCGAACCATTACTTACGCATTTCCCGAATGTCCAATCCCGCCACAGAAAAAGACAATAAACATTAGTAGTTCCTATTAGTACAAGTATCTTACTCGTTGTTCCGACTTGAGAATGGGGAAGAGTTTTGTATTTGGGTTTTAGTTTTTCTTCTTTTCCACGCAAAATCAGCTACTACAAATAATGATCGCCTTGAGCTGCGTGATATGTTCATCATATTGAAGTCGTTTCAGTCGTGATTGGAGCTATAATAAAAAAAATACCAAAAATGTTTCTCCGTGTCGAGAAAAACGGGTTTGAGTTTTTTTTTCGTCTTATCGAGCGTTTAAAGCGAGCTAGGAGGCTTACAAGAGCTCATTTATGCTTAATTTAAGTCGTGAAAACTTCGAGAAAGATTATTTTTTGGAGAGCTTCCGGCGCCATCTTGGGAATTAAAATGTCAAAAAGTTTCTGCAAAAATTTTGACTTTTTTTTGGTTTTTCGACATATTTGGTTTTTCCAGTCATTTTTTTTGAAAGTTGTTGTCAAATTACTCTTTTTACTAGGAATTTGCCTGAGTTCTAGTTTTTCGTTCAGATCTTTTTATTATACCACGCAGAAAAACCCATAATAATCAGAGAAAACTTCTTTAATAAATTTTTTAGACCATGATCAGAACATTCTGTGCTATTTGCACAGTAACCGGTAATCTTTGTTAGATTATGGTCCTTGCTGTCCCCTATTTTTTTGAATCCGTCCTGTTTTCCTCCATACCCCTCTTACTGTTGATTTGATTTCGTTGCTTTTGTAAAATATAACGGGCGATTTTAAAGATGATTTTAAACAAGTAATAACAATCTTCGACATCTGATCTTTGTCACAAAGAGTTTTTTGTATCTTAAGGGACGCGTTTCCCTCATTTATTTTGTTTGCTTGCAGTTTCTGGTCTAAATTATTCGCCGCCAATTTCGAGGAAGTTTTGCGTTGATCAACAGTATTTTTTGGTTATTTACACACTTTCGTGCCATTTCATGACACAAATGCCTGGAAGGATCGACGGTTTCGTTTCTGTACATTTTAAACAGCCTAACAATCACGCAGGGTTTCTTTTTTGAAAATGTGACCTATTTTTTTATCGCTGTGGTTGGAACGTACTGTAGAAAGTGTGATATGTAACATTCGCCCAGACGTTACACAGTGACGGAGCGTAGAAAAAGTCCCTTTTGACGACTGGCTGATGTCAGTTACCTTAATACTACTCGTTTTTAATCATCTTGAATTAAACAGTTGTTTTTCTGGGCTGTTTAAGGGCCAACTTTAAGTTGCCATTTTTAGGCCATCAGCCAAACGACTTTTGATCAGCCTTCGTCTGCATGCGAAAATAACCACATAACTGGGTCTCGGAGCCCCAGACAACGTGATTACTATTAAAAACACTGCTAGAAAACCACAATTATATATGTTTTTAGTCACAGTTATATACTTAATCCATTAGAGATGGATTGACTCTTTCCTCTGATTCCGCACTCAAACAAATAAGTGCACAGTAATCGGTTATCCTTGTTTTGTTTTCGTTTTTTTTTAGGTCAAATAATCATTGGAATGGGTCGAGTTTGTATCCTATTTATGGCGTTTCAGTCGTTGTTCGAACAAAAAAGAAAAAATTCTCTCAGTTTCTAGAAAAACTGCTTTGAAATTTTTTATTTTAGTCTATTTCGAGCGAAAAAAAGTGAGCGAGCATCGTTCAGATCGTTTCATTACACAACGCGCAAAAAAAACGACACAATCAAAATAGCAATTTTTGTTTGTATGAATATTCGAAAATCTGCACTTTCTCGTAATTGTTCACGAGGCTTATTCTGAGTAAAGGTATCCGTATATATTTAAAAGGTAATTCGCCTCATTTCTCTCATTTTGAAATACGAAAAAAGAATTTTCTATGTGTGATTCTGGAGGTTAATAAGAAATTGAACAATTTTTTTCCGGACCAACGGGCATATTCCCAAGTATTGTCCGCTTAGTTACAAGTAAACTGTTTCGATGCGTAGTAACCCCTGGGAATTGCCTTTATTGACAAGTTTTCCTCAAAATCAACATAATTTGAGACTTATTAGCTTTTTGTCATCCAGCTTGCTATGCTGTTCATTGCGTTTTGCAAGTGGCGCGAAGCTTCCGAAGTTTATTCGACAGTCTGGGCTTTTCTAGCCTCCTCTTTCCACACGAATGCCGTCATACACAGCAGCAACTGCCCGATTTTATTGCAGCTGATCAACAAGCTTTCTTTTTTTCCAATCGTATCAATAGAAAACGATGGTTAGGATTTTGACCGAGCTGGTGTCTTAAAATCAAACGAGCTTCTGTATGATAAATTTTACTGAAAATAAGTTCCTCATGATTATTTCCGTCAGTTCATTTTTTTGGCAATAATCCCCCTAGACATTCATAAGGATAAAAGCGAGCATCCATACTTTAACTTATTTTAACTTATAAAATTAGGACTCTACTCAGTTTAAATCTTATATTTTTCATCGACGGTGGCGCTGAGGCCAATGACATCCTTGAACATACCATTCAATGGCATGTTATCAGTCAATGACAGAACTCTGATTTAATAATTTGAATCAAATAAATGTGAAAAATATCGATATAACAGAGCAAAAACTTTTGAGTAATATCTTCGCTGTAGAAAAGTTGATGTAAAAGTTCTTTATCGTTCATAATATCAAAAACTAATATCTAATATTGCTTTATATACAGACTTGAAAAATTGCAACTTTGGTTTGTTTTCGTTATTTTGTTTTCGGCTCATCGGTTCATTCTTAAGTTGATTCTGTTCAGTCGTTTGGGCCAATTTGTCGCAGTGTGTTTGTTTCATCACTGGACATGCACATCTAGACAGCGAGTGAGATAAGCAGTGAGTTGGTGAATCACGTGTGAGTTTTTCAGGACATCTTCTGAGTTCGACTCCAGCTGAGTGTAGATCTAAACATCGTTTTGTCATAGTGTCAGGGAAGTCCAGAGGTCCATTTAAATAGATAAAATAACGTTTCATTTAAATTTTCAATTATTCTCACGGAAGCATTAAGCAATGTCTGCATGAAAGATTTTTATTTAATTACAGCTAATTAAGTTAAAACAGCTCAAACTTCCCATAAATGAAAAAAGCTGCGAGCACACATATTCTAGATTTTTCATTTGATTGGCTTTTCTTTTTTTGGTGAAAACTTTGAATCAAGAAACAATTTGGAAAAAACAAAATACACTAATTCGAAAAAAAAAGATTTTTTTTCTGACAATTTAATTTCATTGATATTTTTATCTAGATAGACAACACAGCATAGAGCTAACTATTTCCCGCAGTGGGCCCGGTTTTCGAATCCTACCGACTTCGAACCTTTTCTTAAGTTTTATTGAGCGTGAATTCTTTTGAAAAGTTAAAATGGTTAAATTGAGCTCGAAAAATAATTATTCTTAAAAGGTCTGTTCTGTTACCTGCGAGTGAAATGGAATATTGGCTTGTGTGAGTTGGTTAATAATCTGAGCAGTTTGTTCGAAGAGAATTTTCTCGTCAGTTAGACCCGCAATCAACAAGGGATTCAGGTCACGGAAGTTCTCCACTTTGTCTGCAAATGGAGATTCCTAAGCAAACATGAGCACAATACTTAGTTGACATCAATCCGTAAGCTGTTCATAATCGAAAGGTGGGATCGTTCGAAAATATCGGCATCAAACTGAATTGAGAGCTGATTATGTTGGAATATTTCGATATATTCATAAATAATTTATAGAAAATATTGAGTGTAAGTGTTATAGGCCTCTTACCACTTGTTTTACTCTAGCTAGGGGCAGTTTGGATTCTGCGAAGTATGCTTGGCAGCTGGAGATGTTTGAAATGGCTCTGACCATCGCTATGCATTTCACAGTCTCTTCATTGTTGCTGATGAGCTCGCCCGCTATGTATGCCCCGTATTCCTAAATTAGTACAAACGATATTGAATTTGAAGCTTAAGACGGTGCATAAACTTTGCAAAAAAATTATTAATTGACCTTTCAATAATTGACCTTTCAAATTGAATCTCCAGAAACGTGCTACTTACTAACATAGCTCAAAAGTGACAATTTCAAGATCATTTTTCTCGACACCCGGCGAACTATTTGGAAAATGTTTTTTTTTGGAGCTCAAATCACAGCCGTAATGGCCCTATGATATATATTACCCGAAATCACGTAACTCTAACTTGTGACACCTCATTTTGCATCAAAAAATTCAAACCGAATCATGAGTTTCTTCCAACTACCTGAAATTTGCGCGAAATTTTCTTAGAAAAAAGGAAAACTTTGAAAAACTCACCAAAGCTAAAATTGCAATCCTTGACGCATCTATGACTTCGTCTTCAACTAATCGTTCTAGAACTTTCTGAATCCCCTCGCTTTCGGCCTCACCGGGCCTCGAACCTCCTTTCCCTTTGTCAGTAGAAGCAAATTCCACCCCGTAACCTTGAGATCCGATCGTGTCAATAACAGCAACGAACACTTTTTGTGTGCTGGCCATGTAGTCTAGATAAGAGAAGTCCCATTTTGAGGTTACTTTTTGTTGTTCAGGGAAAGGACTGAGGTATACGACTATAGGGTACTTGTAGTTGATGTCGACTATTGGTGGTTTTATCAGCATTAGAGAAATGTCTAAAACCAAAAAAGACGTTTTTGGACCCTTAACATGCAAATATATTCAATTTTGTACTGGTTTTTCTGGGCTGAGATGTCTTTTTAATAATAATCGGAAGTACTGATATGATGTCTTGCGTTCCGTCTTCATATTTGAACCAGATGTGGAATCGGGCCGAAATTTTGGGGCCTGAATCCGTTGTTTAAAAATGGCGGGCCCGAAAAATTAACTACGAAAAAACTGGCCCGACTTGTCCCGAAATTTACAAAAAAAAAAGCATTTGATTTAAACAACTGAATTAAAAAGCCCGAACCTGTTTAATCCACCTCTGATTTGAACAAAATATACATCGTTTGACAATCGTCTCTCTTTTGTTAGCAAATCCCTTTTGGATTTGAAAAACGTGGACGCGGTTATTGCTAAACGGTTTCCTGGGATTTAACAGTGCAAAACAAATAGAATAATGGCGATATTTCTGGTTGAACTCACCGTCAACTTTCATGAACTCTTTGTGCGCAACCTTCAATTTATTGATTTGTTTCAACAATTCTTCATCTGCCGGAATTTTGATCATGGGCCGTCTTTCTCCGCTGCTCTGGTCGAAATTAAGGACAGTCAAAATAGTTTTTGGAACATCTGGACCCAGGCATTTCAGTTCAATCCAAGTTTGATCTGGCGAGAGAGATGCATCATAGAAGCTGCACTCGTTGGGCAGCAGCGAGCAGGTTAAGCATTCCATTTGTTTCGAGTCATGATCAACTGAGAAAACGTGTCTTGTAGCGGGGTGTCCCTCAATAGGTGCCAAAATGTACCTGAAATAAAATTTATAAGGGAAATAAATAGCCTTCGTTTTGAGTCAACATGGTTTTAAAATGCAGCTGTTTGTTTCAAGGATGTTACCTCGATCAAGAGAAATAAGACTAAATACCAGCTTATTACTAGGCAGTTGTAGACTTAGTATCAGAGAGACACCCTGTTCAGGTCCACCGGTATCAATGAATTCTGCGTTTTGAAATTTTATTAATACTTCAACGTTCAACTCAATTAATCTATTTTAAAATACTTCAATAGCATAAGGGAGATTTTGGGATTTATCTGATCATATGCAGAATATTCATGCATGCTTAACCGCTGACTTGTTCATTTGTGTGTGGTGGTGGTGCGGGATTTTGTTTAGGTACAATAAGGGGCATATTTTTTTTCACGAAAGTATGTGGACGAGTTCAGACTCTATGCATGCCGTGAACCTATCTGATAGACACAGTTGGTATCGTTGCTCTTCAGACAAAGTGAGTACTTTCAATTAAGTCAATTGATAAATGCACTGAGTTGTGAATATGACACATCTTGTTTTTCACAAAAATATGCACAGTAAACCAGATCTAAATCAGTAGCTGAGTGAATTCATGCATGTGAACAAACATGCAGTTTATGTTTGTGCAGCTGAATAAAAAAAAGAAATGAAAATGGAAGAGAAAAACTTACGGACATAAATGATGAATAAAGATGAGGCGGGGGTTGGTTTGGTGTTTCGCCAAAAATGTTTTGAGAATTTTAGTTCGATTTTTAGGCAAATGTTTGCTTCAAAAAAAATATTTTTACCGGGAAATTGAATTTGATTTTCATTATGTGATATTCAGGATTCACATGGCTGAGTGAAAAATGATATTTTGATTTTTATTAAACTAAACAGCACTTTCTCCGTTTTTTTGCTCATATCTTGGGGCAAAATACGGCCATTCCATAAAAGGCGAAGACTTCGATATCTATTGTTTCACATAATTTCTGAGCGCCCCGAAATTATTTTTTAAGTAGGATTTTTTGGTATGAGATCTTTTTTATGTAGGAAATTATATTTTATGGAATCAAATTTCATGTAATCAACATGTGCAAGTTTGATGCACTCATTGCCTTAATTCTAAGTTTCATGTGATTGCTTTTACTTACACGTGAGTAGAAGTGACTGCAATGATTTTGAGGACATCGAATGAACCGCTGGTCAGAAAATAGCCCAAACCCGCAGACTAAAACAAAATATGCAAATTTTCCCCAATTTCGAATCGGCGAACATTTCTAGCTCGATAAAGTTCGGCTTGTTAAAAATATAAATTTCCCATTTTTCTCAAAGTTTTGCGGATATTTATTGAGACATTTGACAAAAAAATATAGCAAGATAAGATGGAAAAAATTGCAGTTGCTTTTTTTTCATTAATTGAACAATTCGCACGCGTGTTATACCTCGGAATCTCTTTTGTTCAGATGTAGAAAAGAGCCCGTGGATGATTGGCGAGGTTGAATGTCGAAAACGAACTGTTTTCCCTCTATGAATCGGATGACAGGACAGTGAACGAAGCGTGGATTTGTTGCTTTTGGGTCGTCTTTTAGATCTCTTTGATCCAAAGACTTCACAATGGCCTGAAAATGCAGAACAGGGTTTCATTCAAAGCAAAACATTTTTAGCAATGTGGCCTTGAAATGTGTATCTGATCTGATATGATTTTGAATTTATCTTCGGTGTTTTGTTCATCTTTCGTCTTTCTCGTAGTACTTGACCCAACAAGTAATAGACCCACCCGAATAATAAAACAACAAAACTGCGTTGTGCCCGTCCGTACTTTTGGAAGTAAGACGGAAGGGAACTATACTAAAAAGCGTCCACTTTTCAATCTCCGTAAGCTACAATTATGAACTAAAGAATCGCCTAAGTGCTTGTTGGTTTTCTTTTACCTTCCCAAATGCGACTCCTCTGCTGCCAACAGATTCGAGATCCAAGACGAAACTGGAAAGTGTATTTTGTGCCCTGTCGAGCCAGTCAGTCTGGATTTTAGAGTCGGATATCCAACCCACATCCATCAAGTATTTGTCGGCAAACTGATTTTCGCTGAATAAAAATTCAAATCAGAATTGTTATTGTTTTTTCCCACCCACTATTTTACGACGATCAGGTGAAACTGAGAAACAAAGGTAACTTACTCGATTATTTCTATCCCATTGCCATTTGTACTTGAGACATAGTGAAGCGAAACTCGAGGAACATCTCCGCCTCTCTGAAAAATAACGAAAATTTATTTCGATCAGACAACATCCGATAGGCTACATTTTTGGTTTGATTTAATCTGGCTGGATGATGTTTAAATAGAGGATTTTTACTTTTGAGTTCTCTGGTTAAAGCTTCCTCCAGGTTATGCCAACTATAACTATGTATTTTTATCTCATTGCTAGAAATTGCTGCATAGATCGAGTGGATCTTAAGTCTGGCGTAATGAAATGTCACAAAGTTGACATCAAAAAACAAGACAAAATGGGATCATTCCATCGAATAATTTCTTATAAAATGTGACAGCTAGTAAATCACCTTGGGAAAATTTATTTGCTTCAATTTAGTTTGTCCGTCGTAATAGTCGAGCACTTCAGATTTGGCCACTTTGGAGTCGTGAAATCCAGCGAATACCATACGTTGCTGGTTCTCAGATATCCAGAGAGCCGGCTCGGAGCTTCTCCAGATTAAAGCTGAAATAAGAAGCTCAATTATTTTAGATGGCGTTTCAAATTTCTTGTAGCCCAAAAAAGCCAATTTGAAAAATAACATCACTTTATTTAGTCCTAAATAATACCCTAATAGCTTGTTTTTATGCTTTGTTTTCCATCCAAAATACGTGCTTTTTGTTTTGCTGGCAAAAAATGCTATAAATAGGCAACCGGAGTTGAATTTTAGCGGTTCTTCTATGTGTTTTTGTAAATCGACAACTGATGGCGTTAAGAGTCACCTTGGTATAATAGATCTGGTGATCCGTAAACGTTTTCTTTGTCTGCGGCTTCATGAAGTGGCGACATTTTACTGTCTGAAGTCTCAAAGTGAATCAATCGCACGTTGCTATTTTCGTCTATTACTACCTGCATAAAAAGCATCTACCATTGAAATATTGTTCTGAAAGCATTTTCCCCCAATTTGCATAGTGATGATCTTAACTTACAATCGCAGGTTTTCCATCTGATGTTTTGAACCACTTGCACGCTTTGTACTTGTCAGGAAGGTTTTTCTTCACTCTAAAAGGAGCATTTTTGGTTTTCACCATGTGTTCTTAGTCTTGAAAACTTTTATAGCATTTAGGTTAATAATTCGGAGATGATATTAGATTATTCGGACATGTTTTTGTGCTAACGTGAGAGCATCTTTGTCGATGATGCTGCATTTCTTGCGGGGCTCTTCGCTATTGTCAGTCGTAGATTTGAATTCGCTCGCTAATAGGATGTACTGTTGTTGTGAATCTGGCGAGAAAGACCATTCTAGCGAGTCCTTGTTGTGGGCAAACTGGGCCTAAAAAGAAGAATGAGATTTCTTTTAACTTTTTCAACCATTTTTGAAAACTGCACATGGTTAACCAGTTGCTGTGCAAGTAGCACAGAATCCTCGGACAATATTTATTTGAAAAAATAGAATTTTTTTTATTTTATTCAATTTAGTGTCGTTTCTAGTGGGTGGTGTGATTCGAGAACTAAACGATCGCGTATAAGTTCTTGAACGCGATCATCATACAGAAACATTTTTCTTCGAAAAATGAATGTTCTACAGAAAAAAGTTAAAAACATTCAAAAAAGTAAATCCAAAAAAAAACATTTGTAGGAAACCTTTTTTAGCCTAAATAAGAGCTAAACGAATAATTCAAAACTAGTTTTTTTTTACAATAAAATCAAGTTTTTTATCTTTAAACGTTTTAAAAAGTAAATTGTCATATAAGGAGGGTTACTCGGTCGGGTTGCTCGCTCTAAATTATACTAAATCTCAAAAATTTGAAACCAGCTTCTCCTCGACACTGGGACAATTTCTGGAACTTTTTAATGTCGTTCGAATCACGACTGAAAAGATTTTAATATGATAAATCACTTGGCTCATTCGGATAGTTATTTGTGGCACCTGATTTTGCATGGAAAACAAAAAAGAAAAAATTAAGGTCAGCCGGTTACTGTGCAAGTAGCACAGAATGTTCCGACCATAGTCTTTAAAAAACTACAATTTTTTTTTTCAAATTATTCTATTTTTTCTGCTTGATAAACGGTGTGATAAATGGTTCTGACGTAAAACAATAGCTTAGGCATATTTGACCGTCATAGTAATATAGGCAAATATAGGCAAAATTTTTTGTAGAAAACTGAGAAGGTTTTGCTTCTCAAAATGGCGCTTGAAAATTCCAAAAACCAATTTATTGCTTAAAACAACGTTTTCAGGGGTTAACTAGGCATAAATAAGCTGTTGTAAGACTGCTGGCCCGCTTTATTTTCTCGAAATTGAAAAAAGATCGAAATTTTGAACCTCGGAACAATAAAACCCCATCCGAATACAAAGTTCCTCCCAATTTTCAATGGTCTTTAAGAGGCCCGCTTTCCCTTCTTTCCCTCTATTTGTTATATGGTTATAATTAAGATTTTATTTTTTTTGGGGAGGGGGCATTAATTTTGGTATTCAATTGCAATGCAAGTACTTCATTGCTGAAGTATTTTCCGGCAGATGTCGAAATTGTCTTACCAGATCATCTCTTGTGACCAGGGTCTGTTTTGTGTAGTTTCCATCGTCAGTCATTTCGTCCAAGCCCTGATACACTGCTATGTCTCCGTTCGAATCCAAAACTGCCAGTGAGGATCCTGAGCACATTGTTGTGATTTTTTTGCACTTTTGCGAGCTTTGCGAAATAATGGGAAGTCTTGAAATATTTCCTGAGGGTTTTTAATGTCTATTGTCAATTAGACTATATTGATTACTACTGATTTGAAATTTTCAGTCTTCCGATGAAAATTCATGGCGTCTGTGGCTAAGATTAAGATATGTAAATTAAATTCGTAAGAACGAAAAGTGATTCATTTTTGCTGATCTCCTGGTTACCTTTTTCATGTCAAAAATATACTAAGAAAGAAAAAGATACGAAGAAAAATTGGCGTTAGGGTTTTCTGTTTTGGACGCCACTGATAGAATCGCGCCATTGACTACACTCTTTCCTAGTAATGCCACCCACCTGACAGCCATTGTACAGTTGCGGTTCTAGGAGAGGTCAAGGAAGTGTCGGCTACGTGCCGTAGAGTGATGTCCACACTGCCTGTTTTGATGGGGTCAGGGGTCAACACCTGAACTGCGATGAACACTAGCAGGAACACGAAGCAGATGGTCAGCAGGGCCAGAGCAATTCCTTTCCAGTTGCGCTTCTCCGGCTCGGCCCCGACCAGGTCCTGATAACATAAAAGAAACAAATTGGAAAATGTTTACTGATGAATTGTTTGATAGAAGTTAAATTCCATCCATTGCAAAATTGAGAACATCTTACATCAAACTAAAATCCATTTGAGAAAATGCGATGCAGCCCGTTTTTAGTCGCCTCTGATCTGCTGTCGTTGCGAGTATTTTCTTCTTAGTTTACCGGAATTGAGCTGCTGTGATATGATTTCAGCTAAGCTCAGGTTAGATCAAACAATATAGGGCTATCATAGCCCGTGGAAAATTGATGGATTGCATTTCTGGCCGGACTGCGCTAGACATGAAGTTTTTGATCAGTGAGAAGAGCGAAACTGTATATTTACCAGCCGCCTATTTTGTGAATTCATCACCTCGGTATTGAAAATAATGATCTCACTTTGAAAGATAATTTGAAGGAATTTTTATCGTAGTATTAATTTGTATAATAGTTCTTTCAAAAGTTTTGTGATCAAGGTAGTTTTCAACAAGGCTATTTTTGTATCACGGAATAGAAATCTACATAGTGACAAAATAACGTTGTTGACGGAAAACAATATTTTTCAATTTGCCATAGATGTTTTTGGCCGGAATCGAGGAGTTTCGTGATGAAACTTTTTACTCTGAATTTATCGGTATTTTTTCTGCAGAAAATGTCATTTTTTTCAACTCAATTGTCAAGATCCTAAATTTTCAAAAAAAAACTCACCGTGTACATACGCTGTGGTTGATGTGCTACTGCAGGCGGCATTTTAAACCGAAATAAAAGAGAAAAAATGACTCAATTGGGAGATGCTTTTAAAATACTGCCGCTAGATGTTAGTCCATTTCGAAAAGTAACTAGATGCGTTGACCTAATTTGAAGCAGATGCTAAATTGATGCTATCAAAAAGGCTTTGTTTGAAGATTGGTGTCGCACAATACAGGAAAGGATTTAAAGCGTTTTTAATACTGATTTTGCTTTATTGCTGTCAAAAAGTCAACAGGATGTAGCTGAAAGTTTCACCAGGATTGGGACAAGGCATTGGGCTAAATTTAGTACAAAAAGCAATTGTTGTCTTTAATTATCTTTGATAAACATTTTGTCAACTTTTTTGTCCTATTGTGATAAAATTGATTTTACAAATGTTTAATTTCGATCGAAGAATGCGTCGTGCCAAGTTGATTGTGGAAAGAGCGAGTTGATTGAAAAAATACCATTGAAATAAAAAGGTGAAATTACAGGAAATATTGTGAAAATAGCAAAACTATAAGTTTAGTTTACGCTTCGCATCCTGGGGAAAATTATAGTTGAGCAAGGAAACAATATACTGGTGTATTCAGGGACTGTAAATAATGTAGGACCTCCTTACGGAAAACCGGTGGTAAATAGTAAGAAAATGGAAAAAATGCAAAACTAATTTCTGAGCTAGTTCCAAAGAGTATTTTTCATTAAAAAATAACCGAACGAGATCGTGTGTCCCCATTTCAAAAGGCCGCAGGGAAGTTCAAAATAGAGACTCGAATAATTGACTCCCTTTTTCCTATTTCATTTCTCAGGTTCATGAAAATGCTGTGGAAATGACTTGCTATGACCTCTATGTAATAATTTCAGGCAATCGTCCTTAGTAAAGTATATGATGGCAAAGCGGAAATGACCCGTAAAGGAGGATCAAATTTTGTGAAACTTATGTTTTTGATGTTATAAAAGAGTATTATGAAACAAAACGACAAGATTTTTCAGAGTAGTTTTTTGTTGAAGGAAGGAACTAAAACAATGAATGCCTTTAGATTTGATCGGCATAGTGTGCTGCCCTCTTGCTATTTGGGTAATTAAGTTATATTTTGAGATAGAGCTACCCGCTTTGACAGATGAATTGCCCGTAGCTAGTAATTGATTAGATCAGTTCCCCAGGAAACCAGAATTAGACTACAAAACCCATGATTTTATAATTCGCTACGCTTATAAATGAGGCTAAACGGTACGTCCGTGTCCATGCGGGGTGTATTAGATCGCTAAAATGGCCGATCGTATATCAAATGTACCCCAGCCTTATGCGAACCCCGTAGCCCAATTGGGTTCTAAAGGATAGGTAGTCCAGGTTTATAGCCCATCGCTGTACTTTGAAGGGAGGGGTAACAAAAGTTTATGGTGTTTCACCTGCGGCTTTAAATATCTTGACTACTACAAAAACTGGGTACGGCTTATCGTAAATCAATTTAGTTATAATGTTTGATTGGATCTTGACATTATTGCAATTGATCAAAGCTGGTGGTTATTATTTGTGGTGCCGGTTGTTTGTAAGTTAAACAAAGTATGAATGATCTAAACTGAAGTATCTGTCCCCAATATTGAATGAAGCAACCTGTACAAGTTTTTGTTTCAATTTTTTTTCTCAGGTGGCTTTCTAACGCGTTCTATTCCTCCCAACAGCAAGGAATTTCGAACGAATTTTCTGAAATCCCAATTTTTAAAATCATTTTTAAGTAGTTTTTAATCAGTTGCCCCCAGTAGTATTATTGCAGATGCAGCGAAATTTTGAACGTGACGTCGGGTTTTGTATGTTCTCGAGATTCGGATGATTTTCGGTTTTTGCGATTGTGACTAAGAAAGCTCCCATAAATCCTGTCTTAGAGATTTGTACTCGAATGCAAACGCAGCTGTAAGTTGAGGTATTGGGTTAAGAAAAGATTGGGCTCGGAACAATGTTGAGAGGAAAAGTAGCAAGTTGTTGAGAAAACAGACCAAGGAGAAATTCTGGGACAAAAAATTATACAAATATTATATCTATAGTTAATATAGATCTGTAGTATGTCAGTAATCGTTTTTACCAATTTCTGGTTGATGATTTTAACGAAGGGGCTGAAACTTGGCATAGTAATAAAGAACATCAGTGTGATCGGGGATGTCCTCAAAATATTAAATATAGTCAATGACATATGGAGAAAAAGCATGAAAAAATTGGAGCCAATGGCTTGACGGTTATTTTGCGATTAATTTCCATCAGATGCTGAGAATAAATAACATGTCTCTATATCCTGAAAAATCGATGAAATTCATGTTGCATTGTAAACCACTCAGGGACACAAACGCTACTGAATGTGCTTAAAAGCACCGAAAATATAGCAATTATCTATCTATATAATAAAACCAATGACATGTTTTCCGTACTCAGTAGCCGCAATTGTTGAGTTGTTGCTGTCGAGCGCAACGTATTGCTGCCACCTAAGCTCGGCAACAATACTCTAGAACTCTAAGCGTTCTGAATCTGGAATAATCGAGAAGTTTTTAGTAGTCATCGCTTCTTATGAAAATTTATTGCTTGACGATCTTGCTGATAAAAATATCTTGCTTAATCTTGTTCTTGCTTAATCTTGTTCCGAGCCAATGCATGCTATGAAATAGTTCAACTTTCATCGCTTGATGAGGCTGCTTGCGAAAAATTTAATTTTTAGCGAATTAACTAACTTGAAATATTTGCAAGTTCTGTCGCTTGCTGAGCTTGCTTAGAAAACTTATTTTTACGCTATAAAATAACTTGAAATATTTACGAGTTTCGTCGATTGATGAGCTTGCTTAGAAAAATTATATTTACTCTATAAAATAACTTGAAATATTTACAAGTTTCGTTGCTTGATGAGCTTGCTTAGGAAACTTGTATTAATTGCTAATTGTATTAATTCGCGCCATGAAATAACCTGAAATATTTCATCGCTAAAAACTGCCATGGTTAACATTTTTCTGAATTATTTCAAAGTTTCATCGCTTGATGAGCAAATAATATTGTCAGATATTCAGTATTTGTTTTGCTGTAATTTTTGTTCTTAACGTATTATTCAATCCGGGTAGACCTTAAGGGACATGATTTCTGAGTCTGAGAAATCTCTGCTTGAATTCAATCAAAGAGCAACAATCATGACAGGAATCTGATGGTTCATTCTGCTTGTGTTCTCGAAAATTAAAACAGCAGATCATAAGTTGAAGACTAAAAGACGCTGTAAATATGGTGCACTTTTGAAGAACAAAAATTGTTTGCTTAGAAATCGAAATCCACTGGTTTTTCAAGACCTTCTTATTTAAAACCGAAGACAATCCTTTGAATTATACTTATCAGGTATTCACTTCATAATTAACTGAAATTTTTCGCAGATCGGGCACTTTTGGTGTGGAGTAACAAATACGCCTAGGACGGCAAAGGTCCTGGGTTCAAATCTGACAGGACTTGTTTTTTTTTTCAAACTGGAAATATAAATATTCCGTTCCAAAAAAAATTGTTGGCTTATCATTTGTCCACTTATGTTTTGTCGGCTTAGTTGCCACATCTTAGAATTGTTTTTTTTTGATGTGCTTAACTTACATTTCAGTCTTTGGTTTTTTCGGCTGTTTGTAATTTAATTAATCTTGACTTCGTATATTTCTTGGTTTCTTTTTCGCATAAAAAGTTTTTTCTGCCCGTAGTCTTTCCGCTTATATTTTCTCAAGTTGTGACCTATTTTTTGATTAGTTTCAATGGAAACATAATTTCACTGTTCCTTTCTCAATTGCCCCAAATGCTAATTTTCTTCGACTTTATAGTTTATCATGACAACAATTTTCTTTCGGTTTCGATTTTTTCTTTTTGTTCCGCTTGATAGGGTTTCGGCCTATATTTAATGGGATTGGTGGCCCCATTTTGCGTCTTTCGACAAACGAAAAAAAATTGTATGTGTATATAGGTAAGTTTTGAGGGTGAGGGGGAGTTTTTATTAGACATAATAACATTGAACTTTTTCGTTTTGTTTTTAATTTTTTTTTCGGCTTAATGGGTTTCGGCCTAAATTAGATCGGCTCCGTGACCTCATATTGTTTCATTTAATGGACAAGAAGAGTTTTTTGTGTGTGTGTGTTTTGAGATTGAGTTAGACTTCATAAGTTGTTATCAGTCTTAAGTCTTGTTGATTTTCTTTCGGCTAAAAAGGATTTTGCTTATCTTTAAGACGAAAAATACTCTTTAATCCGAAGTTATTTTCGGCTTTTTTACCACTTGGTATTTTTTTTCGAAATCTAATTTCACAGTGTGTTGTCTTGGCTTGTTTTTTTGAAAAAAAAACTGAGTAAATAATTTTTTATTCGTTTTAATACTTGTCTAGTTTTTCGGCAGTTCCGACTTTGTTTACTTTGTTTTCGATTTTTTTCTCGATCGTATCGGAAATGGTGCGAATTTTTGCTTCGCCGCTGTGTCAAATTATGAAAAAAGGGCTCTTGAAGTTTTATGATCAAGTTTTATTTAGAGTGTTGCAATCAAATTCAATTATTAAAATTAAATAAAAGTAAAGTTGAAAACAGTGCAAAACTAAAAATCAAATTTCCTTTCTAAGTTAGTGTTAGTTTTAAGTAAAGAGAGGTTGGAATAGGTTACTAACTGCATCAAGAAGATATAATATTAGCTAATTTAAAATCATGATCAATTAGTAATAGAATTAGTGTGATGAAGTGAGCCCCTTTGCAAAATTCATCAAATTTGGTCTGAAAATCGAAACTATTCAGATCAGTTTTTCTGAGCAAGTTTTTTCGAAAGTACGTAAAACGAGCAACACCACACACTTCACGCCCCACCAGTTTTTTTTGATGTAGTCAAAACTGTCTTGAATTTTTTTTAAAAAAAGTTAATTTGACAGATTGGAACAAAAGTTGTAATTGAACTGAACGGCTTGATATAGCGTTAGAATAGTGCGCAAATATGTGAGGATTCATTCTTTTAAGAAGTGAAACAAAGGAGCTTAATAAACTAATTACTCTCAAAAATCCTTATTTTTAAGAACTATTTTGCACGAAGTTACAAGGAATTCAACCGAAATTTTTACATCGACTGGTGTCAGATAACCTAAACTGCCCCTATGAAATAATTTATATTTGTTTTCAAGCATTTAATTTGGGTCTGAAATGCCGATTCTCTAACCGGGTGAAATTTTCTCTTCAGCGTAATTTAGAATTGTCACTTTGAATCAGTTAAGTTTCTTATCGATTACACTGCAGTGTGATATTACGTACTATTTTTTCCAACCTTGTACGCAAATATTAGCGCTACTTTTGGTTATTTTTTCAAGCAAGAGGAATAATTAGCTATTTCATAGCATGTTGGTTGACATTTAATTATTGGCAAGTTAAAACAGTTTGATGCATTCATAATTCATCAAATGAACCAAAGAAAGCTATTTGTTTCTTATACCAGTACATTTACAAAACAACCTCCTTTCAGAATTTTTATAACTCACTGTATTTCGCGCAAATTTTGAAATGCATAATTTGTTTACAATTTGACTTCATACCAAATTTATTACATGCAAAGATGGTTTGTTTGCCTTTAGTTAGTTACATCTCGAATTTTCTTTCATGCAAATTCTGTTTTTGTGCATTTTGTAGCTTTCTTTTGCCGCTTGCTATAAGCCTCAGTGGCACAATTGCGCAGTGCATTCAACTGTAAAACTTGAAGGTCCGATCACTGATGTTCAAGTTGCGTTGAAGGGAATTTCTTTCTCAAAAGTCATTAGTTTTTTATTTTGTTTTCTTTTTTTTACCCTTTTAAAGCTACTGTTTGGGCGTTGTTAGCTTGTGTTTGCACCGTGCAGCTATGCATTTCATAGCATGAATATTCACTTAGCTTCGAATTTTTGAAAAACAGGTTGGGAACTAATTGTTAATATTTTCAACGAGCGTAGCTTAGATTATTTACGCTCGGCTCGGTTGAAATACAATTTTTGCTCAAGTTGAGTAAATGTTGAAAATGGCCCCTGGGACATTTTAGTGTAAAAATTTTGTTTGGTCTTCAATATTGTGCTCTAGTCTATGTTCTCTTGTGGATTATTGAAAGAAATGGGATACGTTCTTATTACTTTATTAATATGGTGGAATAGCTTGATGAAGATTGACATAGGGTAATTTGGAAAGTGTGATAGAATACTACATGATAGAATGTCATAGGGCATATTGGAATGGAGTAGAAAGTCAGGAAAACATTTCAAGGCCATGTGGTTTTTGTTTGGAAACGTATATCCAGGAACGGATGTTAGGCGAAACTATAAAGGCGTTGTCTTGTCTTTTCGGATAATTTTCATGTCACTTGGTACACGTTAGTTTTTTTTTTGCTTGTAGCAACTTTTTTTTTACTTT